TGGTAAGAAAACATGGATTTTTGGAAAAATGATAACTATTCTGAACATGATTCAATAAAAATGTCACTAATAAACAGTGCAGAAAATGTTAAAAACCAGAAATACTTAGATAATGCCAATAAGTTTTCACAAAAATGTTTTAAAGGCGTTTTTTTCAATGAGAAAACTTTTAGTACAAAATATCAGGTTTCAGAGTAGCAGCCATGTTAGTGTGTATCTGCAAAAAGAACAGGAGTACTTGTGGCACCTTAGAGACTAACAAATTTATTTGGGCATAAGCTTTCGTGGGCTACAGCCCACTGTTCACCAACCCTACAGTGCATTTCTCCGGTCAATAGAGTATTAGCTTACAACATGTGGGATCGAGAGGTTTCTGGGTATGATTTATTTTTTTTATTCCACTACTAACTCTCACCCTAATATTGTGATTACTGCTGGAGCTCTGCAGGTACCGGACTTTCCAATGCATGGGTAACCCTGCAATTTCAAAATCTGTTTTTGCTCTAAATGAGAATGAAACATTGAATTTTAAAATTTCCTGAGAAACAAAATTTCCCCTCAAAAAATAATTTTGGGTCAATTGAAATATTTTGTTTCAATAAAATCAAAATATTATGTTTTTATTTTGACATTTTAGCCTTACTATTCTAATATAACATGCAATTGGGAAAACGTGTCATTTTGAAACAAAAAATCAAACTGTCCCCTGAGGAAAATGCGGACACAGAAGGTTTTGACACTATTGAAATGTTTTGTTTTGATTCTTCTCCTAAGCAGAATTTCGGTGCAAAGCCCCACATTCCTGCAGAGAGTTTCCATTTTGATGAAAGAGCCTTTCCCGATGGAAAAACAGCCCATTGGAAAATTTTCAGCCAGCTCTAAATATTCATTATTTGCATTGTGGTGGTGCCTAGAGGCTCCAATCGAGCTCAGCACCCCAGGATGCTCAGTGCTGTTCAAACACAGAGTGAGAGACAGTCTCTGCTAAGAAGAGCTTAGAATCTAAATAGACGAGACGGATGAAGAGGAAGCAGAGGCACCCGGGGTGAAGTGACCAACCCAAGCTGATGAAGCAAGTCAGTAGCAGAGCCAACATTTGAACCCAGCTCTCCTGACTCCCAGTCCAGTGGGACAAAGCTGCCCCTCTCCCATAACTTCATTATAATATGAATAAACTACCCCAGGGGACATTCTGCTGGGGAGTCCAGCTCCCTGTTCTCCACCTCCCCTCTCTGCAGCCGAGGTTCTCAAAGAGAAATTGGGCTGGGGAATGGGGGTCGTGACAAAATAAACCGACCACTAAAGAGAGAGAAGAAGACACTCAGTTCCCTGCTACTCCTGCTGCTGTTGCCTACCCTGCACCTGCTCACACCTCTCTGCCTCCACCTGCACTGTGCTGTGCTCCAGGGTAGCACCCATTAAAGGGTGGGAGCAGTGAGCTGGCTTGATCCACACACACAGCTCTTCACCATCTTGAATGGGCTTTCCCTTGAGGACCAAGGCCAGGGAAAGAGGAGAAGAAGCGCCAGTCCTACCCCCTCTGCCAGCAGCCCTGGTACCTCCTCTGCTCACATGCCCATTCAGCCAAACCAATTCCCCCAGCCAGCCCCAAACCACCCACCAAGCCCAGCAGTGCTCACCCCAGTGACCAACTCCCTCCACCAGCAGCCGGCTCTTCCACGAGCTCCACCAGCAGCAGCTACCCCACAGACCCTCACCCGCCAACCAGCCCTGGTTTGTGGTTGTGACCCCCAGAGGATTGTGGGATGTGACTGAAAAGGATTGTGGGTTGGGGTTATGGCAAGAACCAGCTAGTGTTGGGGGTCTGCTGCGGATACAGTGTGAACGCCCTGCTGCAGGGGACAGAGCTCCGAGAAGGAACTGCCGGAGCAGCCTGGGCACATGGAAGGTGTCTCGCCTCCAGGATGTTTTTATTTTCTCCCTGCAAATGGAAAACAAAACAACCCTTTCCCACCCAGTGAAGGGGTGTGACAGGCAGCAGCCGCCAATGAGCAGGGGGCAGATTTGCATGAACCAGCTCTGGTGGTTTAAGAGACAATCGTAGGGTCCCAGCCACAGACCCGTTTACCTCAGGGAGCCGAGCTTGTCTGGATTCCCACCATGGCCTGGGCCCCTCTGCTCCTCGCGCTGCTCACTTACTGCTCAGGTGCTACACGGGGGAGGGTTTGTCTGTCTTAGTCAAATGGGTCTTTGCTTTCAGAGACTCTTCTCTGTGTGGTTCCCAGGCTGCCGGCCAAGAGCTTTAAGTTCACAACGAATGACTAAATACTGATTTTATGCCCCTCTGTTCTCTCCTCCTGTCTCAGGTTCTCTGGCCCAGTACGTGCTGACTCAGCCGCCCTCAGTGTCTGCGTCTCCAGGGCAAAATGCTCAGCTCACCTGCTCAGGGAACAGCATTGGGAACTACTATGTGCAATGGTTCCAGCAGAAACCTGGCAGCGCCCCCCTACACTTATCTATCAAAATAGCAACAGACCCTCCGGAATCCCTGAGCGATTCTCTGGGGCCAACTCCGGTAACACGGCCACGTTAACCATCACTGGAGTCCAGGCGCAGGACGAGGCTGATTATTACTGTCAGGTGTGGGACAGCAGCAGTGCTCAGAATCACAGTGACCCAGCCAGATGGGGAAGTGAGACACAAACCTCCCCTTATGAAAGAGAACATTTTATATCATTCTTGTGACGGTGAGGGGCCATTTTTGAGGGCGGGGGTATTTCCTCTTCACTCAGCCCAGCACTGATTCCAGGCAGCCCAGGCTCACAGTATGTTGCCTCAGTGACACCCTCTGTCACTCCAAGACACCGGGAGCTCCAGAGAGGAAGGACAATTCAGAGTAATGGTGTATCACTTTCATTGCAGATAAAGGAATAAACTCAACTCATAAACTGGCCCACCAGCGATTCTGGTGCAATGGCTTTATTCTCTCACCGCTTCTGGTATCCCCCTCACAATGCTCACCTCAGTGGGATCTTGTGGGGAAGCCCACCTTTCCACAGACGTGGTTATGTAATGCTCACAGTGAAAAAAAGAGCCTTAAGAACATGCTTGCTAGTCAAATACCTTTATAAGTGCTGGCCCGACACACAGAAAACATGGGTGGCACATCTAATTAATTTGTCACACTCTTTGACTGATCATGTCTCACAAAGGCAGGCTTGTAGGTCTGATCTCCCTTGGCTGCAGAAGCACCTCACCTGGCAGTAATACAAGGCTAGATTCTGTTCTCCTGACATCAGCTTCCATCGTTAGTCTGTTCTCCTCACTGCTCCCTATACACAACAACCCAGTTCCCCTCAGCAAGCCCACCATCTTCCATGGGAACAGGGCACTGACCTCCTGAACTGGCGATTGTCACCAGAGAGTTGGGCTGCATGAAGCCAGCAGTAAGAGCTCCTGTTTATTCACTCCCCATCCCCGTGGCATGCTGGATTTGAGGACATCCATTGCCTGAACCCCTGGGAACCCTCAGAGCCTCCAAACCTCCTGAGACCTGGCACAGCCACTTCCTTGTGAACAGGGGCCAAGGCCTGTGAAAAGCCAAGCACACGACACAAGCGAAAATGTCCCTTCCCCTAAGGCGAACTTCAAAAGAGCCGATTTCTGACCTGAAACTGCTGAGCCCAGACGTGCGCTCTGAATGCACAGAGCCATGCCAGGCTATCAGGGACACAAGAGAAAGGAGGGATGTTTGTCAATGAAACTTTGATACCATAATGATCGAGGCATTAGATTGTGATGGCAGCATCTTCCCTGCTGCTTCTCAGCTGGGAGATCAGCGACCCTGGAGAATGAGGGTGAAGGGAAGCAAGTGCCCATGGACCCGACACAGTGAAATTAAAAATGGGATCCACACCCCTTGTCTGCTGAGCTTTTCTAGCTACATGGGGTTGTTTTCTAACCCGAAATACACAGCTTCATCAGGTTCACCTACATTGCTGGAGGCTGGCTGGAGCCAATGGCTGGAAGTTGAAACTAGACATATTCAGATTGGAAATACGGTGTAAATTTTTAACAGTCAGGGTAATTAACATGAGGGTGAGGGTAGACTGAGGTACAATTTACTAAGGGTTCATGGTGGATTCTCCATCACTGACACTTTTTGATTTCAGAGTAGATGCTTTTTAAAAGATGGGCACTAGTTCAAACAGGAATTATTTTGGAGTTCTCGGGCCTGTGTTCTATGGAGGTCAGACTAGATGATCACAATGGGATCCCTTCCCGCATTGGACTCTGTGGATATGGCTAAACAGCAGCTGGGAACATGTTTCCCAGCGCAGGTAGCCAGGTACATGGTACCGCTGCTGGACATAGCGCTAAGATTAGCATCGTGGCTGGAGGTAGCACAGGCAGCAACTCGGGGTAGCCACCTGAGTACTAACCCCCCCCCCCCAGACTCCGTGCGTACCTATTCTGGCACCAGGCTGAATTTGTCTAGCTCCAACATTCAGCCATTGCATTGTGTTATTCCTTTGTCTGCTAGAGTGAAGAACCCATTAGCAAAGTTGGTTCTCCATGTCAGTACAAGTAGACTGACCAAGTCATCCCTTAAGCTTTTCCTTGGGAAGCTAAATAGCTTAAGCTCCTTGAGTCTATCACTGTAAGGCATGTTAGTGGACAGTTAACATGGTGTAGTGTGTTATGTCTCCAAAGCCTCGCACAGACACAAGCTCATTAGTTAAGAACAACTTAACTGGAACTGAAAGAAAACCTTCATAAAGTAGGAGATCATCACCAAAGGCTGGATCTCCCTCTCACGTGACTCTTTCATGTGATCACAGAGACCAATCGGATGAGAGCTGATTAGCATAAAGGAGGAACTTAGATGGTCCTCATGCAAGAAGACTGATATAAGGGCCAGGTACTGTAGGGTATTTTCAGTGTGACCGGCTTAGTTTTTTCCAAGTGCCAAGGGGTAGATATTGTCAGATAAAATCAGTGTAGCTGTGTGGGCTCCAAGGGCCTGAAATCTCCTCACCATGCTCTGGGCTCCCTTCATTGTCCTACTGGGGACGTGGTGCACAGGTGAGAACAGGGGGAACAGGTTCAAGACACATTGACGTTATGGATAAAGCCAGTGCACAAACCGCATCAATAGTGGCTGGGGACGGACAGGGAGGGTTTGACAGGTTTCTACCATATTTTTTCCAGGTTCCAGCTCACAGCCTGTGCTGACTCAGCCGCACTCAATGTCAGTGTCCCCAGGAAACACTGTGAAACTCTCCTGCACCATGAGCAGTGGGACCAGCATCGGTAGCTACACTGTGTATTGGTACCAGCAGAAACCTGGGAATTCCCCACGATACCTGCTGTATTACTATT